TAGCATCAGCATATGCAAATATTGATTCTTCATATTGGCAGTATTTTGTGATAATGCAATTTTAATTTTTTATAAAGATCTAGCACAAAACAATTACATCCTAAACAAAGAGAAAAGGATCATAGCAATCATCCTGCTTATCAAGAAGACTCTTTTCACATGATCACATGATTATTCCAGTAAGGTATTAAATGATTCAGTTTATCTGCAGTATTACTTACCTTTGAATTTCCTGTGATTTTATGTACAGGCTCTGTTAATTTCTAAATTAGAGAGGCTAAGGCTGCAATTCTATACTCACATGGGAATAATACTATTGAAATCAGTAGCAGTTACTTCTGAGAAGGTATGTATCAGTCTGCATTGTAAGAAGCAAACATTTATTTTGTAAATTTGAATTTTCAGTGCAATGCTATAAACCATTACACTGCAGAAATTTATAGCACCATCTGTACTCAATCCCATCAAATTAAATGGGGCTTATCCCCAGTTAAGTGTTATAGGACTACAGACTTCTTATTCCTATTAAGGAATGGGAATACAACAGACATTATTTATCAGACTGGTCATGATACATGTTAACATTGACAGTAAAAAACAAACCTGCCAATCAGAACAGGTTGATGGAAATTGTCTCTCTGGAGGCAATGAAGAAAAAAAGGACTTTGAGTAAAGAATGACTCATGAATTTCACAGAGCTTGTGACTAAAATAGCTCTCTAATCCTTTCCTTTCCCCAGACCTGCCCATTTCTTTACTACCTGAACTCGTTGTCCAAGTCATTTGTGAGGCACAAGCCAACTAGTGATTAATAGTTTCAGACTAGGTAGGTACAGTATAATGATTTCACATAATAAATATACCTTGCTGACTTCAAGAAACCTTTTAGACACACCCTTGTTATCTGGAACTCCCTTGAACTATTCCAGGAATGCGAGGGGAGAAATAAACTTCATTGAAACCTAATAAATCTCTAGTGATAAAACCAACCACATGATGGATTTGAGTACCCAGAGCTCAGCTGGCCAGCTTTTGCATCTCAGAAACGAGTTGGTTCAACTGACACGCAAATCCTTCACCAGTGATCTCCTTCATTTTCTATTTTTCCTTTACACCATACAGTAAACATTGGGAAACATGGAAAAAGAAAAGCAGAATCTTCCTGGCTTTTTTGTAAAGATTCTGGTAATCCAAAAATGGATGGAGTCCTGATCCTCTGCTTTCTGAATGCCAACATTTCATAGATTTCATGCCATCATATGATTTGAAATTAGAGTACAGACATTGGCTAGATGCCAAACTAGTTAAGCCAAAATATTTTGATTGTAAATACATTTCAACCACAATCCTATTCACATTTACCCTGAAGTAAGTTCCACTGAGTTCCTTGTGGCTTACTTCCAAATTAGTGTGCCTATTATTGCAGCCCTTGAGTCCTATTAATCATAGGACTACTGATTAATCATAATCAACTACTGTTGCATAAAATTGTTATTAAAGCTATTTTGCCCCACCCTTTAAATATGTTTCTGAAAAGTTCACTGGAGTAGTTTTTAAGCCATCTGAAAAAGCTGTTTCTGAACAGTACAGCAGGAATCTTGCTGATTATTTCAAATCTTAACTTCATGCATCGGATAAAGTTGGCTCCAGTACACAACAGCTTATGCTACAATGAATTTGTAATCAGTCAGGTGCCACAAGTCTCTTTCAGGGGGGTAGCTGTATTACTCTGCTGTATTACAGCACCTTAAAGGATTATAGAATCTTAAAGGATTATATTTCCCAAACTAGAGTGTTATAGTCAGCTGGATGTGTGTGCCTAGATACATAGGGCTGAATCCAGAATTGATAATTGACAGAGAAGGCCCACTGAAATCAATAAAACTTATGTTCTTCTTGACTAACTTAAATCCCATTGATTTCCTAGAACATATTAAGCCAGCATTTTCCCTGGAAGTAAAAATGACAAAATTGAAGCTGCCACGTATCACAAGGAGGCAAGATTCACTAGAGAATACAAAAATGCTAGGGAAAGCTGAAAACAGAAGGGGAAGACCAGATATGAGGTGGATCAATTCCCTGAAGGAAGCCACAGCCTTGAGCTTAGGAGCTGAGCAGGGCTGTCAAAGATAGGGTATTTTGAAGGGCACTTATTCCCATTCACCATAAGTCAGAGATGACTTGATGGCGTGTAACAATAACCAAGTCTGCATCTAAGTTACTGCACCAGGGGAACAGAATAGCTGTAAACGTCTGAGCTGAAATCAAAGAGAGATGCATGCTGTTTATTCTGTGAGAAGTTAATTCAGGCTTAAATATATGTAAAATAACTGTTGACCATTCACACAACAGCACTAATTGGTGAAAGCACAATCATCCTGAAGCCCACCAAGCATTTTCTGTTGGCTCCCAGTCACCCGGCTTCTGACACCACCAAAAGCCACCCTTTTGGTGTCCCTTTTTGGGGACACTCCAAAGGGAGTATCCTCCTTTTGGGGGACACTCCTAAGGTTCTATGGTACCTGCCATAGAAGTGGTGTTCCTAGAGTACCCACAGAATATATGATGATGACAATGATGAAGATTTATCTTTATTTATTCTGTTTCTATACTTCCCACTAGCTGAAGGCCAGATGCTGGGAACAAACCCTTTTAAGCACTGCTCCCTATGATACCTCTAGGAATAAGGCTTCTATGCTAGGAACATGGAGTATGTCTTTTTTCTCCCTTTTTGGAAAGCTCACTTGGTAGGCCAGGGCTTCAAGCCATGATGTTGTGACAGTGAACAGATACCGTTGCTTCAAGATCTGCTGCTGCTGGGGTGCATATGAGTAAAGTGTGCCTTTATGTGCAATCCCCACCACTTCAGCTGACCTCTGATGCTTCCCTTGAGGCCAAAAAGGTAGTGCACCAACAGACTATCCTGTCTGGGCCTGTCCTGGTCATTGCTGGCGGATGAATGAGTCTGTGAATGAGTGTGATGTCATTAGGTTCTATAATAATAATAATGCCACCAAAGTGGAAATAGGAAAAGACTCTTTATTGTTTAACTACAAACTAAATATCATCTATATTTTTTCCAGAAAACACATCATTACGACTTTGTCCAAAGGACTTCATTATGCCTTATGGAATGTTAATCCTGCATAAAAAGAGCCAAGCTGAATCTAATGGAAGACTGATCTAGTCCAACATTCTATTCCAACCACATGCGTATGAGAAACCCCAAATCAGGACATGAATGCAGCAGCATTATCCCATGCATGTCTGTCGCATCCAACCCATCGCGACCCCATGGACAACAGTCCTCCAGGCCTTCCTGTCCTCCACCATCCCCCGGAGTCCACCCAAGCTCACACCAACTGCTTCAGTGACTCCATCCAGCCACCTCATTCTCTGCTGTCCCCTTCTTCTTTTGCCATCTATTGTTCCCAGCATTAGGCTCTTCTCCAGGGAGTCCTTCCTTCTCATTAGGTGGCCAAAGTATTTGAGTTTCATCTTCAGGATCTGGCCTTCTAAAGAGCAGTCAGAGTTGATCTCTTCTAGGACTGACCAGTTTGATCGCCTTGTGGTCCAAGGGACTCGCAGGAGGCTCCTCCAGCACCACAATTCAAAGGCCTCAATTCTTCCGCGCTCAGCCTTCCTTATGGTCCAGCTTTCACAGCATGTCCCCTAGCAACTAGTATTCAGAGTCATATGGTCTCTGATATTGGAGGTACCATACAATCATCATGACTAGTACCTAATCCTCCGTGAAACATCACAGACCCAAGCCCCCTCTCCAGTATCATAAAGGGCAGAATCCTATGCAGGTTTAGCCTGCAGTTCCCTCCTGCCCAAGCTCCTCAGCAACCTGTATACCTGGGCATCCTGCCTCTGGTAACAGTGGTGTTCAGTCAACAAGGCTCACAGTCCGTGGTAGCCTGCTCTCCCTGAACGTCTCCAACCCCCTTTTAAAGCTGTCCAATTGGCAGTGAATTCCACAGTTGTGTGGAGAAGTACTTATATGCCTACTACATACTGTATACAAATGCAGTGTAGAGTATATGATATATAAAAAGTAGAGGTTTTTCTTCACCAGGAGAGGGTTGAACTAGTTGATTTTTGAGATTGTTTCTAAATCTCTTAAGGGATGCATTCACCTGGGTGCTTAATGTCTGTGGTGGCCAGATCCACCTTTCCCTATCCCTGTTACTTTTTTCTCACTTCCTTTCTGCCATCCCCTTCATTCTCTCCCTCCCTCCCTCTCTCTCTCTTTTCCTAGTGCTTTGCTCTCTGATGGATCCATGCTTTGAAAACACTGCCTTCCCAGCTGCGGTGAGGAGGGGACTAGAATGCCACCGGTAGCATAAAAGTTGGCACATACTCCCTCACCCCAAGTTCAAGTACTGGGGTAAGATCAGAGAAACCGTTTTTCCCATCCCAGCTTAGCCAGAAACCTCCCTAGGTGACTCCAGGCCAATCACACCAGCCTAACCTATTTTATTGTGAGGATAAGATGTGTATACAAAGACCTTTTGTGCCGCTTGGAGAAAAGGCACCGTATAAATCGAAATTATGAATACAACGAATTCCTTATTACGAAATACTCAGCAACTCCTTTGTTCTTGCATTTTTGAAATTTTTCCTTCTGATTCTGCCCCTTTGCTGGGAAGGACTGAAACGTCTTTCTCTTCTCTGCAATACAACCCTTCTTGCGTGATAACGAGCTTGAGGCTCACAACCTACCTACCTGCTCCTTCCGCTACTCCAGACTTAGCGCCCACGGGCTAAAAGGCAACGGCAGGCGCGCATGCGTCCTCCTCTCCCATTCTTTGGAATCCTGCCCAGCAGGTACTTCGTTTTCCCTACCCACCCGTCCGGCGCGGCGCAAGCGCATTCTCCGCCATCCCCTTTCCTGCGACAGCAGGTGCCAGCGCTCCCTCGCCCGAGCAACAGGTGCGCATGCGCGCTCGGGCTTGCAGGTGCGTCGGGGCTTTCCCTCCTGCCGGCTCCGCGCGCATGCGCGACGGGCGTGTTTGCGCCTCCCTCCCCTTGCCCGCTGCCTTCCTCCCCTCCTTCTGGGGCTGCAGGTGCCAGGAGGAGACTGCCGGCGCCCCTGCCCCGCATTCTGGGCGGCGGCTCCTCAGCCGGGGACGGGAGGCGGCAGGTGGAGCGCAGGGCGGCCGTGCCCGCAGCGGCTTTCTGCCATCGGCCGGCGGGCGGACCGGCTCCCCGGGCATGAACCGGGTCCAGCGCGGGGGCGGCGGAGCGGGGGGCCGCGGCCTCGGCACCATGGAAGTGAAGAGCAAGGTGGGTGTCGCGAAAGCGTCCTTCGCCCGCGCCGAGACGGTCCTGCGGGGCGATGGCGGGCGCGGCGGGGCTCCCGTGGCCGCGCCGTCCAGAATGCGTGGCCGGAGGGGCTTTCGCGCGGGTGGGCGGGCGGGCGGGAGGCGCCGAAGGGGAAGCCCCCTCCCCCCCCCCGGGGGGCGGGGGGGGTTTCGCCGGGGGGGGGGGGGGGGGGGGGGGGCGCCGAAGGGGAAGCCCCCTCCCCCCCCCCGGGATCGGCTGGGTCTTTCCCGCGGGCGGGCGGGAGGGGGAGGGTTGCCAAGGAAGCGCGGCGCGGGCGGGTTGCGCCTCGGTACCTGCTGGGCAGCCAAAAAATGCTGGAGTAAGAATGCGTCTGAGCATGTGCAGAGGGCCTTTCCGTCAAGGCTGAGGCGCCCGCAGCCCCCCTTGCCCCCGGCACCGTACGCCCGCAGGAAGGTACTTGGCATCGAGACAGAGACCACGCTCAGCAGCAGTCTTAAGCCCCAGCACCTTTCTCATTTTGGAAATAAAGTATAGGGGACGATTGTATATTAACAAGGAAAAGCATTGGTATGCCTATTCTGCTATCTCCCTGGGGGCGGGGGCGAGCATAAAGGGAATCGGGTTAGCATTTCCCCCCAAACTATCTCCACCTTTGTGTAATTGCTTTATTTTTCTCTCTGTTCCTAATAGCATGTTAGTTGACATTCATTTGGGATTTAATGTTAGGAGTGTGAGTTTAAAGACAGGGTAGTAATTTTGTTTTTGAAATAACACTATGTAATAGGGTAAGTAAAGTGAGTCGTTGCAAAATTTAAAAAAAATCAAGTATTTATGGGGAGCTAGTAGCAGAAAATGACTTAATGTCCCTGAGTTATATATCAATAATGCTAATTTGCTTACAGTTGTTGATTAAAAATAAGTAGAATTTTGCATTCCCCCTTTGTCTTCTCAGAGTGTGTATAATGATCATTCTAATCTGACTGTAGTTGATTCCTGAATTGGTGTGGGACATGATAAGTAGGTTATTCACAATAACCTAATTGATACGGTCTTGAGAAGATATTTATTACCTGTTCATCATGGTTTATGTTGGCTCTTGCTCTCTCTCGCCCCCCAATGTGACAGCCTGTTTCCTCCTTTCCCCTTGTGTTCCGGGTGCTTGCCATTACCCAAGCACACAGATCTCATATGGTTTCCTTTGGAATTTATGCTTCTTTATTCCAGATACTTTTAATTGACTATTATCCTATCTTTGTGCATACTCTGAAACAGTTATCTTTTTGCTAACACATACTTTTCCAGGGATAATTTAAGAGCTGTGTTATATCTATCAATATAAGCCGTTCAACATGCAGCGTACTTGTGACATCATACAACGCTTTACTGGTATTTGAGATTATGGAGGAGCAAAAGGAATGATATACTACAAGTTGTCCTCAACTCCCAGGACTTTGTGTTTTGAGTCTCTGCATTCCTAACCTGATTACAAGACAGAGCATTTTCAAAGCACTTGCTGCAAATCTCTTGTGGAGAAGGGGTGCTAGAGATGCCACTTTGATAAAATGAAACAGCCTTTTGTTCCCTTTAGCCCCTGAATTGTTCAGCCATGTAAACTTAGCTGTAGCCCTAGCACTGATCACCAGGGTAGCGTGAGGACTTCCCAAACTCTGAACACTTTCCTTGTAGGAGCAAAAAGATCAGATAAATCACGATTGGTGAAGATACAGAAATTGTCCTACGGATAATCTCGGTGAATCATAAGCTCTTCTACACATTAGACATTTTTGGAATGTTCAGAGTGCTTGTAGTTTGGTATAAAAAAGGTGATAGGCTAGTTGTGCTCATACAAAATGCTTGTCCTGAGGTGATTTCAGTAAACACACCCTATGCTTTGTTGTAGATTAAAGTGCTCTTTCATTATTTGTATAGCCACATGCCACAAATTAAATAGGTGAGCTATGCTGCACCATGCCCTCTTGAGTAACAGGATGTGTTCCACTGCAAACTGGCAGTAATAAAACATTTTATCACTAATTTGCCACTTAATTATTATCAATGGAAATGTTTCCATGCATTACCTGGGCTTTGTGGGTTACTATAGTTCTGCTTACTAACTATGTAGGGCTGGAACTGATATGCACTATATATAAAATCCTTTTTACTGAATGCGGATTTCATCTGTGATATGCAAAAGAGGACCCTTCCTTATTTTTAGGTAGGTGAGCCTTAAAATATAGATTACTGATTATTTCAACTTCTTGTAAGTTAATTAGTCCTTTTATCTATACTATTTCCTGTCCTAAAGAACAGATCCACACTCAATTCCCCTATAGCAAACAGATGCCCTCCAGATGTTTTGGACCACAGTTCCTAGCATTCCTTACCATTGACCATGCTGATGAGGCCGAACGGGGGCCTGGGGGTGTGTCCCCCACACCCCCCAAAAAAGGAAGACAGCAGCTTGGGGAAACTGCTCTTAAAGTATTAAATCCATCCCTAGCTCAGTTTGCTCATATCTCCTTAATTCCTCCATTGACCTCCTCAATGCACATTGCTTATCACCACAAGCCAGTAAATTTTATTACGATGTTGCAACTCCTACATAGAGTGTTACTTATTAGTACTACATTCTGTATCTGCAAAATGAAAGCTCTTTGGACATGGTAGAATAGTACCATTCTGTTCTGTACTGCAGAATTTTGTGCAGGAATCCATGTGTCTCCAGTTTCTCCTGCATTGTGGCTCTGTTCTGCGGTGATACCAGTCTGGAAATGTGCAAAAATTAGTGGACATTCCCTAGGATGAGAGGGAAATTATTACCGATGGAAGCAATGATTGCTCCCCACAGGAATCCCCACTGATTTTGCATGCTTCCTTAGAGAAAGTACCAAAATGAAGGTGTTGGGGAAACGTGAGCACCACAAAAACAGCCTCAGAATCTTGCTGCAAAAGTGGTGGTGGGAACTGAGTGTCTCTTTAGGCAGTGGCATTCTTCCTGGGCTTTTGAAGAACATGCAGCTACTCATATTTGATACGTGTCATGTCAATAGGATGGGAGGCAGTGAGCAGGGTGGGTTCTTGTTGGACTTTGTCAAGCAGTCCCCTCCACCTATTAATCACCCCGGTGTTCCCATTGCCAATGTCATGTGACTGCGATCACCCACAGTTCTGCAGAGATGACATTTGCAAAAATTATTTTGGGCGAAATAAAATTTAACTGTCTTGGGCAGTCGATCTAAGGCAGTGGTTTTCAACCTTTCCACAGCTGGGGAGCAGAGAAAACAGGAAAACCACCTCAGGGCAGAAACAAAAAGTATCATACAAATAAAATAGTATTCTGTGTATTAAACACAATATCCCCAAATGAAAATTCTCCAAAACAACCAGAAACCGAGCAACAAAAAATGTCAAGAAAAGAACAAAATACTGAAATCAGTGCAGTGTAACTCCCATCCAGCTCTCACCAAGCCGTCTCCCCTCCCTGCCCCCCCCCCCCCGACTGCACTGGCGCACCCCCTGCCAACGCACTTCCAACCAAGGAAGAGGTGGTGGAGCACAGCCAGCCCCCTTGCCGGTCTGCTGTGAGCGGGATGCGTTCCCCACCCCACCCCCGACTGGCAGGAAAGCTGCAGACCTGTGCTGGGCTACAGACCAGTGGTTGAAAACCGCTGATCTAAGGTACCACTGTGAACCTTGGAGAGATTACTCAGGGATGGGTAAATTGGGATTAAAGAGGCTGGCCTGATGCCAGCTTTTGTGATCTGGGGTGGTAGTGGGGAATGAAATGCAAAAACCAGCTGTGCCAAGCTGAAAGTTACTGTGATGATGGCAGGGGAAGAGGTAAACCTACAAGGTCCTCTGAGATGCCTACAGACAAACCGAGGAGGAAGAGGTGGGCTTGGGCATACATGCACCTGGATCATTTGTCAGGCAACTCCTGTGCTCCAGGGCAATCAGCCCATTCCATGAGGCTTGTGCCAGTGTATCTTGTCTAGTAAAAACTCTCCTGTTTCTCGAAGCAGTGCCCCCTCTGCTTTCTTCCAGCAGTAGTGGTGCTCATGTATTCACCCTTTCCTTTTGGCAGGGAGGAAATCTAGAACTTGCTATGTTTTTATCTTGGAAAAATTACATTTTAGGTGATGCTAACCTGAAACTGAACTGATTTAGAAAGTGTGGACCAGTCTCAAGAAAATGTTTTTGCCATATATAGAGGTGGGTTGTGGCAAGAATCGCAACCTCCGTGCATTCACTCCTCTTGCCATATGCTCCCAAGTCCAATAATTTGGCATGATCTTTTCGCCGATAATAAGTCAGATTGTCAGAAATGGGCTAGGCAGTTGTATCATTTTAATAAACAATATGCTGGACTTGTGTATTCCTTCCCGCTTTCTCCCAGTGTTGTTAAAGCAATGACCTCCCCTGCTTGCTATTTCTCATTACAAATTTTAAGTGTGTCTATTTTCACTTCTACAATAGTGCATAGGATAATTTTTAAGCATATCAATGAAAATTAAGCAAAGAGAAATAAAATGTTATCTCTGAGGCAGAGGGGAATCAAAGGAAGCCAAAAAAAGAAAAAAAAGCTAGGAGTGGGAAGTCCTTGGGACTATATGCTATGCCAAAATTGAGAGATGGAACTTCATCTCAGCCATTTTAGATTCTTGGGGCGCCTCCATCATCAGACTCAGGACAAGATTTGAACAACTGAGTCCATTTTGTTTCCAGTTGCTTTCCACGAAGCACTGGATAGGACTTGCTTCTCCATTCCTTGCATCCAACTAATGTAGGGAGAATTATCCAAGGAGCTGAGATGGGGAAGAGGAGAAATGTATTTGTAAGCCAAACATTTGAATAGCAGTTGATCCTTTCAGTTCCCCATCCCCTTTCCATCAGAAAAAGTCCAGAATACATTAAATACTCTCTACCTTCCCTTATTCTCAGGGGTGCTCCTGGCAGCTAAAAGGAGGAAGGGTTAACTGTTTTTAGTTCCACTCTGAAGC